ACAATTTTTATGAAGTGAACGAGCCCAAAAAAGATCTTTTACATTGCGATAATCCTGGTGCAATCTGGAGACGAATTATGTTTTCCATATCTGATAAGATTTTGACAAATCTGGAAGTCTATCTTCTAGGAAACGTCTAGGAAAGAAATTTCATGATTCTTAGGGTAGAATTAAGGAAAACACATGTTATTTATTGATGAATTGTTAGGTTAAAAAGGGGAGAGAATAGAACAGCAATAGTTTTTAGTTTTTTTCGGTTTTCTTTTACTTTCTACGTCAAAATGTGAGGCTGATCTTTCTTCCGCAGTTTAAGGGGATTTTGAAGCCTAAATTCATGTCATTGGTGTAACCTAACTTCAGTAACATTATTCTCAATCTCGTTTTTATTGGAATTGTTTATATTATTCTGTTTTAATTGTTTATAATTTTCTGTTTGGGTGATTTAGTAATGGCCTGCTGAATTATTTTATCGGAATTTTATCTGTTAGAATTAGGAATTGTGATCCATAATTGTCCTTTTTCTATTCAATGGATAACACATGATGATAGATGATTATGGACAAGTTTTTATTATGTCATCTTGAATAACATAACCTAAGTTAAATAATCCGAGCTTGTGTGATTGTTGCTTAGATTGATCTATTTTCCTAATTCTTAAGGCTGTCATTGAATTAAACTTAGAGATCTTATTCTAGGTTGTTTGAGGGTTAGGATCTACTTGAAGAGCTTATTTCAGTAGTGACGATTAAGGGAGAATTTGGGTAACAGAGCTTGTTGTTTCCTAGGATCAATAGTTCCATAATAACGAGATAGAATAGTGTTACGGTTAGTTCGTGTCCAATGCATGTTTAGGTGGATCTTGAACTGAGAACTGATTGTTTTTAATCTGATTTTTTCTTCCATTAGAGACTTTTTTGTTTTACTTTAGTTTGCCTTGATTACAAACCCCTTTCATTACTCTGTTGTGTTGTCATGTTCACTGTTTAGGGTTTTATTGTGTTGTTTTCATTGTGGCTATTAACATAGAATATAGGATTTAATCGAATCATTCCCTGTGGGATCGACCCTTGCTCACCCTATATACAATTTAGTAGTTAGGTTAGTAAGGTTAGTTAATTTGGTGCATTCGGCACGCTACCAGTAGTTGCCAATCGTCATTGATGAAGTGAGCCGCAAGACACATATAGTTGAGGTTCTGACAACTTGTCCATGTATCAGTAGTGAGACAAACTGTGTGATTGAACTTACTAAAAAACTTCTTTAGATTTTCACTCTCTTCAATATAAATCTTGAAACAATCTGTAGCCACAGTCTTACGGGAGGGCATTTGAAACCTAGGCTATGCCGTAGTCATCACACGACGAAACTCCTCACGCTCCACAAAATTAAACGGTAGCTCATCGATAATGATCATTTGGGCAATAGTTTCTCTAATAAAATCTTGATCAAATTTCCATGACAATAATGAAGATTGTGTAGAGGTGGCAACCGCACTTGAGAGGTCACGTGATGCTTGTTGAAAGAATAACGTCTTCTGTCTCCTATCCACCACATTCAAAGGATACTTTTTACACCTACTTAAGTGGTTACGTAGACAACTTGCACCACTTTTACTTGGACAAGCAAGAACATTACCGCAATAGTTACATGTTGCCGTCAAATCATCCTTATTCTCACACTCATTTTGGTGAAGTGATCCACATTTCAGATGTATTCTTCCTACTAATAGTAGATTTTGCATGTTTGGGACGTGAAGGTATGGGTGGTCTTGGTGTAGGTGCTTGAGTGTCATGTGAAGTGTCAAAAGTGGGTGTGTTGTTGTCACTAGTCGAAGATATCTACAATTGCATAAAAAAAGAATATGCATTAACTATTTGTGGTTAGTCAATGCCCAATAGTCTAAGGCACCATGCATTTATATTATTCTAAGAATCAAAATCCTATAACAGTCAGAGAGATATAATCGAAAATTGGAATTGGAATTGGAATTGGAAATAACTAACATTTCCACATGTACACAAAATTACCAATGTAATAAAGCTCACTAACTTTCTTTAAATCAGCAGTACTTGGGACTTCCTCACTTGAATTCCTGAAACGATTAATTATACACAAAAATCAATACAAATAGTGAACAAAATAAAATACAATTACACTAAAAATGAAGTAATTAAATTACCTAGGAGAGGACAACTTCTCGTATGCCTTTTTCAATCCTTTAATTGGATTGCACCGTTTCATTTTGAAAACTAGAATTCACAAAAAATAAACATATAAATAATCAATACTCAAGTGTACACATATAATGGATGGTCGGGCATTTGTTACAAATTTACAGATAAATATAAGCAAATTGTTTAATCAATCTTAATCTACAAATTACTAGAATTTTAATGCTAACAGCATAAGGAAAACTGAAGCTACATTAGTACCTAACAACTAATGTGAGTCCTCTGTATGGCAAAGATCATCCTTCAGGCAGTCTTGCAAGGGAGTCCTAACAACCTACAGACTGACTGCAAAATGGTGCACAGCTACCTCACGTAACAAGTGGAACAAACATTCAAGCAAACAAAAAGAAATATCCACTGACACAGAATAGTGTCAGATAAAATAGAGCATTTGATCAACATGTAAATTTGGTCTACAACTAACCATTTTTCTTCTTTATTTTGACATTATTTATAATTCTTATAAAGAAAGAGAGATTTTACCATTTGGTGTCATGAAGCTTCAAGATTCAGCTTAACTAAACTAGCAAGAAACTTTTAAGTCTCGTAGAATTCAAAAGTATTCATATTCATAACCTTTCAACAAAAATCTACATGTTGATTCACTTATAAATTTCCAGCAAACCCATTTCACATCGGCAAGTGCCTGAGTTAAAACCAAAATGCTCTCTCTCAACTAGAGAATCCAAAGAAAACCCTCTTGACTATGCTTCAAGGGTTGAAAATTTGGATTTTGATTCAGAAAGCCAAAGAGAGTGCCTCCCATAAACTTGAGAAATTCCATCCCTTTTAAGTACCAAATGCTTCAATTTCAATTTAGTAAACCAGAAGGCAAAATAATAAACACAAAACGAGTTGTAGATATATGGGGGCTCAGATTCAGCTCTGAAAGTGAAACCTTGAGGAGTTCAATGGCTGCAACAAGGAGTTGTCTCCGGGTTGCCCCGCCAATAAACCGGTCTCAAAGAGTCCTACTCAAAGCTTGAAACCTTCATCACAACCTCATAACAGTCAGCTTTCGAAGAAGAGAGAGAGAGAGAGAGAGAGAGAGAGAGGAGGTCACCCACAGGAAACAGACGACGACGTGGAGACTAGAGTGACGACGGTGACTGCAGTTGAGGTCATGCAGTAGGCACGCGTGAGGGACCTGGGAAACCTAGACAGCCACGGTAGTGAGCCAACGACTTGGTGAAGGAAGAAGAATGGCGACTGGCTGACTGCAACTGGTGGCTGCCGACTGTTGAGCTAAAGATCGGCAGCGTGAGCAAAGACCGGTGGCGTGAGCAACGTGAGAAATTTGGGTGGCTACTGGCTGAGGCGTGACCGCGTGAGAATAGAGATCTGAGAACTGAGAGATAGTGAGAGTCCGAGAGAGAGTGAGAGACAGAGAATGAGAGTGAGAGTGAGAGATTGAGACTGAGTCACTAAGACTAAGAGAATGCGAGAGTTACTAAGGTGAGTGAGGTCTGATTTGAGTAGTGACTTGAGTAGACTGAGTACCGTGGAGCTACGGCGTGCAACGTGCGTGAGTAGTGAAGCAGTGAGAATGAGTATTACTGAGTACTGAGTGAGTAGTGTTAAGGTGTTAGACAAGTTAGACTGTTAGGGATTGCAAAATCAAAAATGTAAACCACATAATTTTTTTTTTTAAATTCAGTTCAGCGATTCCAGGTAACCGGAATTAATTTTGCCAAAAACCGAAACCGAACTGGATTTTCGGTTTTTTTTTAATAATTGAACCGAAACCGAAAAAAATCGGATTTTCGGTCTGGTTCAGTTTCCGGGTTTTTTTTTCCACCCCTAATTCAAACCACTCTAAAAATTAATATAATCAACTTGTTATTTATGCAATAACTAACAAGCAATATAACCACAATACTATAAACACTCACAATCATCTTTTAAGTCTTTTAACACTTTACACGTGTGTAATCGTTAGTGTCAAATCACGCATTAACAAGACACAAATCCAATAAATTATGAGAGCAGTTGGATCATATTATTGATCAGGAATCAGTAGATAGCACCCATGATTTTAAGGTCGTGTCATCTTTCATGTCTATCTTAAGCCTGTAACCCTACTATGTGCAGATTATAGAAGTCCAATAAAATAAAGAACTGAAAACAAAACTAACGACCACAGTTAGGCAAGGGCGGCTTCAAGTCTCTTCAGCCGATTGATTGAGAAGAAAAGTTCATGTTTTCTTCTCCTTTTTAATTCCAACGTGCCAATATCAAGATATATACCCCCAAACTTTGCTACTGCGCTTAGTCAAGGAGGCTTGAATTTTGTCCCAATTTGTTTAGAATAGATCGTTTGTTTATGGGAAGAAAAAGCCATGAAGCTTCTCTGGAAAATTTTCTTATGACGATCCAAGTGGAATTTGTTGACACTTGTTAAAAGAGGAGAAAACTAATGACTATAGATCCTTCAATCTAGAAGAAACACCTCTGGCTGCTCTGCTAACTGGATTCTAGAAAACCTTGTTAGCTAAGTCTTCCGTTAGGCATATAACAAAATTTAAGGAAAAAAGTCATCTTAATTATAAGGAAAGCTGTAAGTGTGGTAGACTGATCAAAGGAGTCAATAGTTAATAGATTTAAAAGTACAAATTATAACTTACAAATTTTTATTCTACTATATAACAATTCCTTTCACATTTAACCAGAGTATATTTCCATGGCTACGTTCTTACAAAGTTCTTAATAAATCTTTTTTACCTTTTTAAAAGAAAATTCCTAACCAGTTATACTGAGGAATAGCTGAACGGGGAGAATCAGAATCTCCTTACAAAATCCAGTCACACTCCATAGAAAAGTTAACAGGATCATAGGCTAGAGATCCATCATCTAATGAGAAATCCCCACAATCAAACATGGAGTCATTTATGGGGTAGACAGGATCCTGGTGATGAACATTCATGACAATACCCAATAACTGATTTCTTTGTTCTTGCAACGCCATAACTCGACTTTGTATTGATTCCAACTCAAATTTCAGATCCTGAACCATCTTATGCAAGTGAAAAGTAGTCCCAGCACTGCCATAAACAGGGTCTCTGAGCCTTGCTGTTGCTTCATAAACTATTGCTTTGACAGCATCCTCCCTCTTCGTCTCCTCAGCCATCTGTTATCATAACAAAACACCAAGATCGATCTTAGAACTCTTACCCGGACAAACCTGTAGGGGGTTTTCAATTATGGTATAATTAAGAAGATGGCATGGTTTTACTTGTTGATACTAAGCAGATGAATGAAACAGTAATATCATCAACAATTAATCCTGGATATGTAAAAATTAAATGAATATGAACTACCGTGAGACCGCTTATTCCTAACCCAACATGAGCTTAATGAAAAGTTTAGATCCATTTGTGAATCTTCCCCACCTGAATCATTTTAATGACATTGCTAGCTCCAAAAACTCTATGCACACAGGCAAAGTTTTCTATCTCATCGATTGGAAAATATGGTGCAAGTATGCAATTGTTGTCACATCTCCGACGTAGCATCTTACAAGCAGCACAAGGTTGATGAGTCCTGGTTCTTGACACCTTTTCAGAACCCATTTTTTAAGGACTATGGTGGTTTGGGGAATAAATAATCCAAGTATATATAACAGAAAGAAAAGCGAAGTTGCCAAGAAACAGGTAAGTATATAGCTTGTTTATGGGGGACTTAAATTCAAAACTTCAAGTGCAAGTAAGTGGGGGAGACGCACTTGTGGACAGTTTTAGGATGATGATGTGTTGAAAATTGAGCTAGCTTACTGTTAGGGCAGTAGACCTAACAGTAGTAAACTATTGTGGTTTTTTCCCCGAACAAGTCGTTGATGCTGAAGTTAGTCACTATCACCACCAAGGAAAAATCCCATTAGGTTTAGGTGTAATCCAACTTCGTCTTTATTCTATATTACAAATATTGTTACCAATTTATCCAGATATGACAACACTAAATTTTCTAAGTTGGAAAAATCATTTTCTTAACAAAATCTTCGAGATTGGAACCCATTAATTTGCAGTTGCATAAAATCCTGCTTGTTTTCTTTGTTTCCACGTTTTCTGTGATGGTTAATATTTTCAACTTATTGTTCCTTGGTGTAGAAAAATATTACGTGGTTATCATATTAAACTCACACGTGGTTTTTGCTCCTCATTGTCCCCTACAAGGGTTTGGACTGAAAAAAGACTACAAGCTATGATGAAATTTCCAATTGACTTGTTTTGAGCCTAGCAGAATAACATATTAACAGGCCATTTTCTCCAAGTGACAATAATGTATCGATCATCTAAATTAACATATCCACATGGGTTAAAACTTTGATAGTCAACCCTTGTATCACTGCCGACACTGCGTATAAAATCTGTGTTCCAGTGGACTTATAAGCAGAGGAATTGAATCCGTCTAAATAACCTTTTTTTTTTTTCTCGTTGAATCTTGTACGTGCATTTCTTGTTTTGCTTCTTACAGAAAGGTGGATTTTACACGAAAATTCAAGCAGCTAAGAGTCGAACGGGGCTAAAGGTAATAGGTCTTAGGATATTATCTGTTTAACTGTTTTAAGTCAGAAAGAATAAATGACAGCGCATCTCAGCTTTCCTTTTTGATAAACAGCTTCAAAATGACAGCGCTAATATTCATAGAAAGAAGCAAATATTATAAACGCAAAAGAGATGAGAGAAACACAGGAAAAAAAAAAGAAAAAAAAAAAAAAGGAGATTGGGATCCAGAGACACGTGAAAGATCCACCAATTTCAAAACCTTATCTTTACTCAATCCCCTGTATTATGAAAAGTGGATTCTGCTAAGAAGCAAGAACAAGTAAGAGATTGTCTTAGTGGGAGTTTTAACTTTTAAAACTAAATCCAGACCGTCTCTTTGTAACGTCCTTCTTCTTCCTACGTGAGTTGGAATCAAGAAGATTTTCAAGTGATTTTCCTTTCCTGTTTCGAGACCTTCCTGATTCTTTCAAGAGTTCAGCAAGCCTTCTCTTTTCGTCCTCTACATCTGGGTTTGCCGTTCCAAGCTTTTCTTCTCTCACCTTAAGGATGTACTCTAATATCTCAATTGCATCTTCTACCCTGTCATAATTAACACACTTCTGTGTTCAGCAAAGCAATTAACTATACTAATGCCTGCCTAGGAAATTAATCAAAAACACTAGACATTAGCACATGTGTATATAGTATATACAGCTCTGCACCCACAGAAACCTATGCAGGCAATTAAGCCTTGAATAATGACACCTAATATGTTCCATAGTCTTCATGTCAAGATAAGGAGATATGGACTCCATCCAATTGCATGCCGTAACAGAAAGGCAGGAAACAATCGCTGTTCCCAAATGGCTAACCTGATCTTTCTCCCTAAAAAACAGGGTTCATTAACAATATATAACACCAAGAGTAGAAGTCGTTGAATTATTATCACCTTTATGTATATATATTTCGTACACAAACAGGAATAGTTTATTAGTATATTAAAAAGGTTTTAATTGAAATCTATTGTGGGCTTAAAAATACAAATTCCATCTGTGAAACCTTATGAAAGACGGAAATGGATTTTATTCTTGATCTAAATTCACTTGAGTTCCCAATGAGTTATTATATGAACTATCTGTTAATATTTAATGGCAAACCAAACAAGTGGCAAGAGCAGAGAATATAACTAGCAAAAAAAAAAAAAACTGGTTAAAGAACTAAACAAAAACTTGGAAAGAAATTCTAAGTGTGCTCACCTTCCCAAGGCATCATAAGTCGCTGCGAGGTTGCTGTATACTCCAAGAGTGTCCAAGTGATATGAACCACATTCCTGCTCTAATACCCCCCTTGCTTCTTCAAACAGCTCAGTGGCCTCATTTATCCTGTACAGCTGCAGACAAGCCAGTCCCATCTGGTTCAAAACGATTCCAAAGAATGCTGATTTACTCTCCCCACTTGCTCGCAGCTTCACTCCAGCACTCTCAAAAGAGCAATGAGCCTCCCCATACCTCCCAAGCATATAGAACATCACGCCCATCTGCGCTTCTATTCCTGCAATTGTGTTACGATGCCCAGGGGCGTCTCCCAATAATTTCATAGCCTTCTTCAAGAGCTTCAATGCCTCCTCATGCTCATTCAAGGCTTCATAGATTGCTGAGATTTCTGTCAAACCATTGGCAATATCCTCAGAAGCAGCTCCAGGCTCTGGTTTTGCGTATATTCTCAAGGCATTCTCACAGTAGGATTTGGACTCCCTTAGTTTGCCAATCTTGTAGTATAGATCTGCAAGGCGAATAAAAACTGATGCTACAGAAAGGTGATTCTCACCCCTAGTAGCTTTGAAGACTGTAAGTGCCTTCTGATAGGAAAAAATGGCCTCATCGAAGCGGCAAAGAGAAATATAAATACTGCCAATGCTAACATCGATGGAAGCAACCTCATTCTCTTGACCTTTAGCTATCATTACCATGCTAGCCAGAACAAGGTGCTCGAGGGCAGATTCATAATCTCCCTTTGCCTCGCAGACAAGAGCCATAAGCCGGCGATCAGCTGCTTCTTCAAGAGAGGCTGGTGGACTGTGCTCCTTGTGGATTTCAAGGATCTTCTTACATAGGTTTTGTGCCTCATCAAATTGCATTGCTTGTACATGGGCCTCAGCTAAGTACCTGTTGTTTCCATATTAAATTATAAGAAAGTTAAACTATGCTTGAAGGTCTACAACTATAGGTCTCAAACAATTATAAATGATCTATGACGAAATGTTTCAAACACAATAAGAAAATGTGGATGAAAAAAATTGTAAGAATATTAGAAATTAGAATACTTGGTGTGGGTTCCCAAAGGGAAAGTAAGAAATTTCACTCTTAATATATCTTAAATACTTCCTCCGGGAAGAAACAAGTGATAAGCAAGTTCCACCATTAGTATTATTTGAATATACTAATTAGATGAGAAAACATTTATAAGTAATCAAAAGCTACCTTCTCCATGGGTAAACATAATTACAGTCACATATGAGAAAACAATTATTTTTTGAATACCCGTCCAATAAATCAAACACTAGATTTAACACAATAGAAATCATTGACAGTTATATCATCATACGATGGAAAAAACTTAAATACGCTCTTCATTATCCGTTAACATTATTTAGTTAATAGATATATAAGTTTTTTAACACACCTTCAAGCAGTGTTAAATGTGGGCACGTACAATGAATAGGGGAGGCATGAATAAGAGAAGTTTATGTATGCTGATTGTTCATGAAACATGAGAGCCCACAAGCCCCGTAACGTAACGGGCTAGAGTGGGCTGATAAATGTCCAACCATACAATAAGACCATTTCAAAACAGTACAAGTTAGCCTCCCGCCAACTAATAAACTAACATGCACCACGAGTCGTTAATCTTAACCCAATGGGAAAGACAATCAACCCTTGAGTTTTGACATACAAAGCTTACCTACAAGTTTCAGCAACTCTTGGATCCGAATCACCGAGAGCCTCAATCTGGATCTTTAAACCCGACTCGTAACACCAAACGGATCTGTCCAACAAACCCATTGACGAATACGTGTCCCCCAGCTGCATATATCCCGCAAACTTGGCCAGAGCATGATCCGACCCATTTCCAGCATCCGAAACCTCAATCGACCGCTCTAAAACCGGAACCGCCTCCTCAAACCTTCCCAAACTGCAATAAATTGCCGCTAATACGTGCAAGCTCATAACCAGCTCCAGGCCCTGACCCTGACCCGAAAACCTCTCAAATGATTTGGACGCTCGAATTGCATAATCCAAGGCCTTGTTCGGGTTATCACCGGAAGAAATTGTGTCTCGGGCCAACTTGAGTAAAAAGGGACCCAGATCCGGGTTGTCTAGAGATGCTTCATCGATAGTGACTTTTTCCGGGGTCTTTATTGTGGATTTTGCGCGAGAGTTGGACGGTGAAGGGGATGGAGCTTGCTTTATGAGTGGAGATGGTGTTCGATGGCTGTCAGTTGTTACGCTTCGGGTTTCGGCTAAGAGAATTTTTGGCGACGGCATAAAGGGTGGGGTTTTCACAGAGACTAGACCCGGCATTGTTGCCAAATGGATAGCCAGAAACTAATTTTTTCAGAATTTAAATCAGACGCACACACGAAAAAAGAAAAATTAGAAGAAATAAAGATGAGAAGGTGGGTTAAGTTTGATGATGATGATTGTGGTGATGGTGATGGTGGTGGAAAGTTGCTTGGAAGAAACGTCTCATGATCAAAGAATTTGAGTACTTTAATTTGATAACTATTTTTAAAAAGAAAAAGGGGACGAACAAAGATACGAAATCCATTGATGATATATGGGCTTTAATGAGTGAGCTGTATGTATATATTATTGAGGAGAGAAGAAGATTTTTATCTTCTTTCTTCCTTCAATTTACGTTCCCATCTTTTCTTAATAGTCTCAACTTTCTTCAATTTATGTTCCCATCTTTTCTTAATATTCTCAACTTCCTTCACCAACTTGACGCTCCTTTTAGCCTTTCGTCTTTGCTTCCTCAGTAATGTTACTCCAGTTCCTCTGCTACTGTGAGTGGCCCACAAATGTTTTCCTAACTCTATTACCCCCTTATCTCGGCTGGTGCAGTGGTGCTGGTCCTGCTGGACGTTGGTTACACCTTTTTAAAGGAATTTCCGTTTCTACTCATCAATCTGACACGTGTAAATAAAAAACTACGTGAATTTAGAAAATATAATATTATTTCATCTAATAGATATTCCCAGCCAAAAAAAAAAAATCTCAAATGATCCACCATCTTATCTGATACAGACAAATAAATTAACTATGATTCAAATGATTCACCATCTTTATATTACACCAAGAACATCTTTAAAAGATTCTTTATTATAAAGATGATAGATCATTTGTCAATAAAAATAAAAATTTAATAGACTATTTATTTTTTAAATATAAATTAAAAAGTAAGTTTTATTCTCTATATTTAGAGAGTCAAATCTTACTTTCTATCTCAATTTTATTTAATAAATTACAAATTTTTATATATTTTATTATTGATTATCTCTCCTATTAAGAGCATCTCTAATGATGTTCTTTATCTTAAAGAGCATACGTCTTCATTGATTTTTAAATATAAAGAACAAAATTTTTATTTAAATCTAATAGACTCTTTAAAATTTTATAAAAGAAAATATGTTTTTTCAAGAAAAAAACTTAATAGGAAAGATAAATCATAAAAATTTATTATTTATTATTTAAAATTCGGATAAAAAGTAAAATTTAACTCTAAACAAGATTTTCATGCCCTCCTAGATTATTTTCAATCCAAAGGAAGGAGATTAAAGTAAAATTAAACATTTGATTGTCTTATAGCTCTGGAAAATGTTCATAAATATACGTTATAAAGAACGCCAAGTCATTTCTTTAAATAGACATTGTGTAAATAGAAAGTCTAGATCAGTGCTGCTGGTCCTGCTTTTGTCCCTTTCTGGTTGTTTTGGTTAGGCACCCCTTGCCTCTGGGTTGTGCTTTGGGCGTGGGCTGCTTGAATGCTTTGTAAAGGAAGTTTCATCCTATAGTTTTTCTTGTTTTCTTTGAGACTCTACGCTTTGTGTGCTTTTGTGCGCGAGCCGTAGTGCTCGGGGCCTTCGCCCTTCTTAGTTTTCATTCTTTATTCTTTTATAAAATTACCTCTTACTCAAACAAAAAAGAGAGTTTATACAGTAACGGATCTAGGAATTTCCCTCAATGGGGTGAAATATAAACCAAAAAAAAAAATTAAAACCAATCATAACTACACTTTTTTTTTTTTAATTACAATGAGTTTCAATAAAAAGTTATAAAATATAAAAAAATATCTTCAAAAAACACAATTTTTGTAAAAGTAGAACAATTTTTCGATAATTGTATTTGACTAGTTTTCCTACTATGAAAACGTTGGATAATCATCTCATGTCAATTGTATCAGATACATTTTTTTTCAATATAGATGACTAAGCAATCATTCATCCATTGATCTCCCATTCGATTGCATTATCGATTTTTCACAAGATTCATTGTAGAAAAACTCTTTCAACAGTCGCAGTCACAACTGATAAAACTAATGCAACTTTCACAAGCTTATACACCAACGTATGCAAAATTTCTTTTTTAAACCGAACTAAATTCTTAACCAAATCATCAATTCCTTGTAACTCAGCAAATTTATCACAAGAACGTATGTCAATAACATAAATCTTAATCTGGTTCTCAAATGCTATCAACTCAAGTGCAGAAAAATCAAATAGATAAAACTGACCAAACTCATTTCCTTTTCCTTTGCTTCTTCTTTCTTTCTTCTTTACGGGCTTTTCTCTTTTTTTCTTCATTTTTGACAAACAATCCAATTTATATATAAAACAACTTCTTTGAATTATGAAACTGCTCCAAGATTCTCTTATTCTCGCCAATTAGCTTTCTGATGTAAAAATGCTCAGATTTCTCCCCTCAGTTAAATGCAAACCCAACAGTTCTTATTCCTTTCATTTTCACTCCTAATAAAACTTTTAAAAACTAACAAATCCTCTTGCATAAAAATAAAAATCACAAAAAATATGAAATATATATACTTGGATTAAAAATAGGGTTTTACAAAAATAAAATCTAAACTAACTGTGGGAGCTGTTCCCAAAATCTCATAATTCTATAAGTGTAAAATTTAGATAAATATAAGATATGGACTTTTTTCAAAAGTTGAGTGGGGACTCTAGGCCCCCACAAGTCATTAATTGGATCCGCCACTGAGTCTATAATATTAATACCATATTGACATTGTTAAACTTAATACTACAGATCAATGCATTCATGTAGCAGAATTTTTATATACTAATTATTAACTATATTTGAAATAAATATAAGTGAAAAAGAAAAAGAAAATGGTATAAATTTATTAGTTAATAATATGAATATTACGGTATTATACACTTTTTCTTGTATAAATAAAACATAGATTCATATTGTGGCACTCGTTTACGTCTGTTGCTTTTTCTTCGCAAGGGTTACATAAGTGGAGCTGTAAAAGAAAAACAAAAAAAGTGGAATGCTATGGGTTTAGACTTTGCATTTACGTTACAAACATTTTGTAGAATCTGTTCAAACTCTTATAACCGTTTAGCTTCATTTTTATTACATTTTGTTGATTTGTTGGAACAAAGAATATTATATAATTAGCGGGAGAACGACATTTTCCCATCCAAGGTTTGGCAAAACCCCAATAAATAAAAAGTGTATCATGCTTGAATCTAACTGGGGTTCGCGGTGGTGCAGGAACTGGCTCAGAAAAAAGAGGGATTCTAGTTGCAAATATCTAATGAAACCGTCACTGGAATTGAGATCTCATTTAAAGAGAAAGATATCAAATGTTTGGAGTTTCTTTTTGTATATTATATAGATGATCCGATCCGCAAGGACCATGATTGGGAATTGTTTGATGGTCTTTCTCCGAGTAAGAGGCGAAACATAATCAACTTGAATTCGGGACAGCTATTCGAAATCTTAGTGAAAGACTGGATTTGTTATCTCATGTTTGCTTTTCGTGAAAAAATACCAATTGAAGCGGAGGGTTTCTTCAAACAACAAGGAGCTGGGTCAACTATTCAATCAAATGATATTGAGCGTTTTTCCCATCTCTTCTCGAGAAACAAGTGGGCTATTTCTTTGCAAAATTGTGCTCAATTTCATATGTGGCAATTCCGCCAAGATCTCTTCGTTAGTTGGGGGAAGAATCCGCACGAATCGGATTTTTTGAGGAACATATCGAGAGAGAGTTGGATTTGGTTAGACAATGTGTGGTTGGTAAACAAGGATCGATTTTTTAGCAAGGTACGGAATGTATCGTCAAATATTCAATATGATTCCACAAGATCTAGTTTCGTTCAAGTAACGGATTCTAGCCAATTGAAAGGATCTTCTGATCAATCCAGAGATCGTTTCGATTCCATTAGTAATGAGGATTCGGAATATCACACATTGATCAATCNCGAACACATATCTTGTGTTCGTTCGAACACGAACACGAACAATCGAACATGTTTATCAAACGATTTTCGAACGGGCCTGTTCGTTCATGTTCGGTTCGATTGCAGGCCTATCCTTGACCAGCTGTACTTGTGACTAACTGGCACATGGAGTCAAAGTCTTGCAAACGGTAATCAACTTTGAAAAGTCAGCTTCTTTTATTCCATGAATCAAAAATGTAATATTTGACTTCAAAGAATTATTTTTCCTCAAAACAATTATTTTGGACATAAATAATAATACCAAATACAGTGTTTATAGTCAACCAAGTTAGAATATTAAAAAATTTACTGGTTATAGTCGAAGTTTGTTGAATGTTTTGCTTTCAAAACTAAAAAGTCTTGATAGGGATATTGATTTTTCTTCGGAAATTAGGGTCGATTTTTCGTGGAATATTGATGGAGTGATGACCACCGCGAACTAATTTTATCAACACCAATAATATCCAAAAACTATTCAAAAACCCTTTCTCTTATTAGCATATATTAACAATTTGTTTAATTAACGAAAAAGTTTACTTAATTATCATTATAACATAATATACAATATTTGGAAACACAAAATTCATGCTTTGAAAACTTATTGTTAAACCTTAAAATAAAATAAATAAATAAGTTTTTTGAAACGATTCTATCAGTCACAAACCTCAAAATTTGAAAATATAAAATGAACAAATTAAAAAAAAAAAAAAAAAATAGTTTGTCTACACTTAACGAGTTGTATATAGTTGAATTTTGAGTATGAGTTTTGGATTAAGATTTGATAATTAATACTGTTCTCATTGGCTGCTTTGGTTCGTGGAATCAGCTATAAAAACATATTGAAGCATGCGAATCATGCACTAACTGAAAAACTCAACACAGTTTTTACTAAAAAATTTATGAGATGAATTAAAATATTCAATTAAGAATTACGATGGCTCTGGGGAAAGGTTTAAACCATTAATTAGATAAAGACTAACGTCAATAACCTAATCTCTTCTAATCAAATCTGGTATCAGTACCTTTCAGTTTGCAACAAGTACTCACGTATCTAAAATTTGGTAGGGGCACGTCATAAAATAATAAAATCAGAGTTTTATTATATGTAAATAATATGTAATACCGTTGATAATGCGAAAGACACTACGAAATTAAGCATTGAGTGCAATGAAGACTGACAACTTCAATTGTTCGGTGCCTTGGGCTTTTAGCATTGCGTGTGAAGTCTTTGACTTTTTTGGTTCAATTGGAGGTGGTTGTTGGGTTATTGTCGCCCATTTGGACATGCCTCGAGGTAGGAAGAGTGTTTTATGTATATACGTAGTCTTATATTTGTATAGACTATTTTTTTGGGTCTTAATCTAGGGGATTATCCTAAGCAATAATATTTTGGATACTAACGGATTTTACTAACCAATGTACTAATCTATAGCATAGTATGGATATCATACGCATAGTACGGATACCATATGTAATTTTAACAAAAGTTAGTACACTGGTTAGTAAAATCCATTAGTACACATAACATTACCTCCTAACCTTCTTTTATAGGCATATTATACATTCTTTGTTTATATATATATATTGTTTTGGAATATTTAAAATAAGATAACCGACTTTTATAGTATATGAAGATATAGTTGATAAGGCCAAACAATCCTAATCTTACCCTTTTGGCATGTCAATCTAATATAATAAATTTATACGCATAAATTAGAATATTCAAACAGTAGAAAAAGACTGAAGAGTATAATTAAATGATCAATCTATTTAAATATTATATGAACTGGCACACTGGACGTAATCAAGCTGGCTCACTTTGAATTCTTCAATCTATAAAACAACAAATATGTGCGTTGAATGAAATGACTGCCAAACTCTTGCATTAATCTGTATATCGTGACATGAGCAAAGGACAAAAATATATATATATATATATATATATATAAAATAATTTTTAATTAATTATATTGATGTGTGATTTTGACACCAACGAACTACGTACATGCAAACTGCTATAAATTTACATGTGAGGTGATTATGAAAGTGTTTATGGTGTAGTGATAATATTTGTTTGAGGGAACATAAATAAAAGACTCACAAAAGATATTTTTTGAGTGGTTTGGATACTGTAAGCAAGTCTTATATCTACTGTTATTTTGTTATTCTCTAATTGTTTTTCTAATATCACATGTTAGATATACAAAGATAGAGTAATGTTTTGTTTATAGAGAAAAATAATGGCTTGATCTTGAATGTATGCCTAACCCTTTTTTATGAAGAACATTGCTCATTTATCTAGCTAAGTCCAATGTAATAATTACTTAGCAAGCTGTCTACTTATGTGAGGAATTCTCTTTAATCCTGATCCAAGAATTTAATAGAGGTGGGACATGTGTGGTTGCTTGGATTAAGTTGATGACAGCTCTGTGAACTTATACAGAGAAAAGCTTAAACGAGTTAAAGAAAGTCTGAAATGAGTTTAAGAGAGAGAACGAAACTGTCTTTGTTACTGAAATTTTTTCTCGTTACAGATTAAAGAGGAACAACAAACAACTATTCCTTTTATATAGCACTTATACAGAGTAAAGAGTAAAGTAAGTGAGCTGAAACTTTCTACTTAAAACGACACCACTTTGGCCTATTATCAAAATCATCCAAAGACTTAACAACTTGGCACTTTCATCCTCTTAAATCCACATAATATTGCGATTTGAGGTCAAAGTACTAGGAATGAGACTGAGAAGAAGGTTGCGAAAAATTACTTAGAGGGGCCCTGATCTCATACATGGATTCTTCCATATTTTCTTTCTGAATCTGCAAATGTATTTTGTGGTTTAGGATCTGTTGCTCTAAATAGCTTTGTGAAAATTAATTAGTTGAGTTTTGTTGCAGCCCACGTAGTGATGTATTGAACATATTTACTGGATGAAATTTCATTAATCTTGTTAACAAGTTGTTGTATAAGGAAGTGAATTGTTGTATATTGATTTGCTAGGTAACAAGTTTAATCTTTAATTTCGGTTGTAAGATGTCTTTAGAATCACGAGAATTATTGATTTGCTGTTATCTTCATGGATGTAAGATTCATTAACTATTCTTCTAAATTGTTTTTTGAAATTGAGGAAAACAACCAGTTTAAAACCGGTTAACCAAACCGATTATTCGGTTCGGCTAGAAACTGGTTTATAAGAAAACCAGTCTAGTTTTGGTTTCACCTTTCTTTAAACCAGTTATCCGATTTGGTTAAAAAAGAACCAAACCGGTTCGGTTAATCAGATTTGCCACCCCTACATTCTATACAAGATTTTATACTTGATTACCTATATAAATATATATTAAAATATTCTATACGAGACTTTATACGCATAATATTGTATATAATCATGATTTAAGGTGATTAAGAGTATTTAAGAAAAAAAATACTTTGTTATCAATATTCAGAATACATATACATAAAACATTGATATATGAAAAACATTTTTTTTCATAGCTCTCTATTTATCCACACAACATTCAGATCAATATACAAAAAACATTTTTTTATCTAGCTTTCTCTGTTTTATCTACACAACATTCAGATCAATATACATAAAACATTTTTATCCAACTCTATCTATTTTATCCACACAACATTTAGATTAATTACAAAAAACATTTTTTATCCAATAGCTATTTTATCACAATATGAACTAACATATTCATTTGTTGGCAAAAATGAGATAAAAGGTTGTGCCTTTGTATGAAAATGTATTGAAAATCAATGTGTTGCAAACGCTTCTTATACTCGTAATAAGGGATTACACTTGCAGCTTTGGGAGATAAAATGGGTACCTTTACATGTTTTTTTTTTTTTTTCTAAAAGCAATTTAACTATTACAATAAATTAATTCCTACTTTCCAACCTCTATTCTTGGAAACATTGAAGTAATTACTTCTCTCTCATCTTTTCATAATGTCAGTGGTGTAAATTGTTTTCACTCCAAAAAGCAAGGTTTAGGAGCCAAAAATAATTTTATATTACTAAAGGATTAATTTGTAAATTTACCTTCTCAAAAAGGTTTTTGATCCGGATCAATTGATCCAAATAGCACTACTCTATTTTTATGAAGTTCATCTCCATAAATTCAGGACGTTTAAATTCTTTTTTATTAGATTTAGATCAAATTTAGGGATTTATTAATGCTCATCAATATTTTTTTACCTTTTTACTATGATTCCTTAATAAATTAGAGAAACATCTTGTAGAAGTAATATATTCCATATTTAATAATTTGCCTATCAATTCCAAGATGCTACAAATTTTAGAATATTTTATTGTTTAATAGGGTTTGGCTTAGGAATAAGAATTCTAGTAGTATTAGGTTTTTCTTAATAACTTAATAAACCTACTATATAAAGACATTATTCTCTTGTATTGTATGAGTGTGAGAACAATTTAGTTAACAAATAAATTCATTGTACCGAGAGAGGTTTAGGGTTATATTTTCAATAATATTGACTCTATTAGATATAGTCCAATTTTGGGTGAACGGATAATTAGCGTGTGTTATTTCTATTTGTTGTTGGTTATTTGTATAATTGTTTGTTTTCTTTGATACCAAATACTCTCTAGTTCTTTGAAGTGGGTGAACGATGTGTGTTATTTCTCTTTGTTGTTGGTTATTTGTGTAATTGTTTGTTCTCTTTGATACCGAATACTCTCTAGTTCTTTGAAGTCTGAGCCCGACACTTCAACAGAAATACAAAGCTATTAACAAATATAAATCCCTTTGACGTTAATTTCATTTTTTTCTTTTGATTAAAGAGCAAATTCTTTGAAATAATGGCTTGGAAGGAAGAGGGACCAACAATCGGAATTGATCTAGGGACTACATACTCATGCATGGTTGTGTGGAAGAATGACAGAGTGGAGATCATAACCAATGATCGCCGTCTTGTGTGGCGTTTACTGATAAGGAACGTTTTATCGGTGACCCTGCGAAGAACCAGGTTGACATGAATCCCTGTAACACCGTTTACGGTAAGTATTTTTATACTTTCTCTGATTTGATTTCATTAAATAGGTTTATTTTTGGTAAGGAAATGTACTTGAAATTGACCATCATTTAGTTATATTGTTTCATTCTACTACACATGTTAATCATTGTAGATGCAAAAAGGTTGATTGGAAGAAGATTCGAAGATGAGTCAGTCCAGAGATATGCAGTTATGGCCTTTCAAGGTTGTTGCTACTGATGATGGAAAGCCAATGATTCTGATTAACAACAAAGGTGAAGAGAAGCAGTTGGCTCCTGAGTTTGTCTCTTCTATGTTACTTTCCAAGATGTGGCAGGTTGCCGAAGATTATCATGGTACAACGGTGAAGAATGCAGTTATCACTGCTCCTGCGTATTTCAATGACTTCAGTTCGCAACTTGACTCGACTGACATGGAGAAGATAGAGGAAGCCGTTGGGCTTGCCATCGAGTGGCTCGATGACACTGAGGAGCTTGTTGAGGCAAACATTTACCAGTACAAGATGGAGGAACTTGAGAGAATCTATATTCTCATTATTAGTAATATGTCAAAGAGTAGGAGATTCACTTAAGAAGCAATGTTCTACTGATAGGTTGATCCTCAGTTTTTCCGAATTGTTATCATTCTGATTTGATATTAATTTTGGGATTATAATATTATATAATCTGAATCATTAAATGATGCTTAAGTTGTTGACAATAAAGATTTTAATGCTTTAAGTATGCTCTTTCACGCTTAATGACTAATTTTTATAGTAGTAAAAGCTAATACGCCTTAATAAAATTGAAGGTTAACCCAGATGAATAAGAATCGGTCAATCCCTTGAAGAAAATATTTAATTCACACTCGTGTATGCATACTTTGATTTTTTTATTGGATGTAAAAATAATTATTTGTGTATAAACGGATAAATTATAAAAGAAAATATATTTATTTAGTTGTTACTTTTGCAGAAGTTAAGAAAGGAAAATCTGAGTTTACAGGTGACTTGAACACAAAATTAAATTGTAACCATCCAGGCCAAATTGAAGCTGCAGCTATCATGAGGCAATTTCCAGGGGAACCCAATTGGTGTTTTCATGGACAACACGCGTTTAGCCATTGCTTCCATGGGCAAACTCATGTTTGATATATTCTCCGAGCTTGTTAATGAAATTTTATAACAACGGTTTACCGTCAAATCTCTCTGGTGGTGCTGAAATTGCAGTGGCATCTTACTGTTCTGAACTCATATTCCTTGCCAAATCCTGTCACCAATCATGCACAAAGTGCTGAACACAACGAATATGTGAACTCCTTAGGCCTTATTAATTTCTTGAAGAAAAACAGCTGAAGCTGTTGATATATCATGTCTTCTACGTGGTTGCTCTACGCCAAGCCATTGACTTAAGGCATTTGGAGGAGAACTTGAAAAACACAGCGAGTTTGTTGGAATTGGGAGCAAAAACAAAATACTTTTACTTAAGAAAACAGTGAACTCTTATATTTTATTTATTAATGTTTAACTTCTTTTATACAAGAAAAGAAATACTACTTCTACCTCGATATGAAAAACGAAATCTACTTTCCTAGTTAAACACAAACAAAACTCATATGAAATAATATTCTTAATCAAGTTCTACTTCACTAATTCAACTCAACAAAATCTCTTACTGAATAAAAGTTATTCTAAAACAAGAATACTTAAAAAAACAGGAAAGTAAATAAAACTGGAATTCTGCGATCCAGGATGCTCGCCACGCCACCATTTCCATCGCCACGGCTGTCGTTCTTTTTCCATGTTCAGCACTGCTTCTCAGCGCTCTCTGCAATGACCATTTTTGTCACTGTAGCAACTGTCATCGCTGCGGCGATGATTTCTATCGCTATAGCAATCGGTCGTCTTGTCTTCTTCACCATTTTGCTGCAACTTCCTTCTTCTGCCATGGACAAGTTCAAGCTCTCCAAAATGGGTTCACACTTTAATAGAGTTCCTTAATTATATGTGGACATTTCAATTTTTCCCCTCCTCGTTCCCGATGGGGAATTTTCCCCGTCTTATTCCCCGTCCCACTAACATTTGAATTCTGAAAACTGTAGATAAATTAAATAAATTAAGAAAAAAAAATGAAGAAAAGCATTAAAAACTAAAAGAAGGAGAGAAAGAAGAAGAAGAAGAAAAAAACTTTTGAAAAATTATAATAAGGGTGTAAGAGACATTTCCTATAGGGGCGGTAAGTGATGGGTTCTATATGGTTCAGGGGTCAGTCTGCTTAAAGTGTAATACTTACTAACCGAATGAGAGTTTCTTAAAGATCGAGGTGATACATAGCCTTTTACTTTTTATCAAAATGCTATAATAAGGATATAATTTATGGTATATTTCACAAATAAATAAAAATATATATACACCAAAATTTCTATCATAATTAAAATATTCCAAATGATGTTTTTAGATGTTTCCCACATACTTTGACATTCTATTATTGGTGTTTAATTTTCTCTGAAGATTCACCCAGTCAACCTTTAATCCTCAGTATGAAGACGCTTCTTTTGCTGATAAATTGACTAACTTAATTGAGAATTGAGTAATTTTTCCAAGAAATGTAAAACCAAAAATTAAGTGGTAGAAGGAAAAAAAGAAAAAAAAAAAAGAACTTTGTATTATCATCAGGCTTATGCAATGTTTCATGTAGTGTGAGGTCATTGAAACAATTTTTCATAAAATAAAAAATATTGTAATTAAAATATGAAATATTATATTGAAAACAAATGTGTTTTAACTTGTGTTTTTAAAAGGTCTATTATTTTATATCTTAATTTTTGTTTTTTTCAATATGTTACTGTAATTATCTACACGGTCGTCTTTGTCACAAGCGTTAATTGGCTATGTCTAAATTTTAAATTGCATGTATGAATTCTATTCAGTTTTTTTTCGTAATCGATATTACATTAAGGGTGCGTTTGGTTTAAGAAATATTGTATTACTAGGAAATATTATATTAAAGGTGTTGTGTGTGGTTTCTTCGCCAAGCTCGGGCCAACGCGAGGATATAGCTCGACCCAGAATAAGCTCGGCAAATATGATTGATCGACTCAACATAAGTTCGTTGAGCCATAGCTTGACCCAACATAAGCTAGTCACAGACAATTCGAGGAATTAATCAATCAATCCCCAAATTACATTAGATCCCAAAAATCGCGAGAATGACTGGATCAACAGTTATCACTAAATGATCATAGCACCCAATCACAAGGATATCAAAATTATGATTCCAATCAATTGTAATCCCCTTAATTTCGTTTTTTCCTTTGTACCAATTTTGTATATAAACCCCCTCTGACAATGAGGAAGGGGTCAGGAATTTCTTATAAGAATTGCATTGTAAGCCCTCACAGCAAATACAAAAAAACACAATGGACGTAGGCTGTTAACCTCGCCAAACCACTTTAAAAATCTCTTCATTTTAGTCCATATCCATCGTTGATTATCATTAATCATGCACACATCGGTTCCAATCCAGACAAGGTCCATCAAATCTCGCTATTTGGTGCAGAAATCTGTATCAACAACTAGAAAGATAGATTACTAGGGAATCTTTAGAGAAATGTGTTTGGTTGGTTGAAATAAATTGGTGGATATGTTATAATAATATATTTGGTTGAGAGGATAAATGAGTGGGTATGTTATATAGATTACTAAATTGCCCTCATTTTTAAATAATAATATAATATTATTTTTTAAATTATTTTTTTAACCCCTTATATTTGAAATTTTACTAAAACACCACAACCATATAAAACTTTAATTTGTAGTAAAATCACCCCCATCCACCCAAGCCACTTCCAACAGCCAGCCACCACCACCGACAGTAGCCGTAATGGAGCATGACTGGTCGGATTTGGCTGGTCATGCGCCGGTAAGGCCTAAGATCCATGGCAAAAAACAGCAAGATCTAGCCATTTCACAGCGGCCATTTCACGGCTAGATTCGGTTGTTTTCGGAAAAATCCTTACCGACACATGACCGGCAAGATCTCGCAGGTCTTGCATCTATATGACGACTTTCGCAGGTGACAAACGGTGGTGGCTAGTGGTCGGCGGTGGTCTTAGGTGGCTGGAGGTATTTTGTTAACTTTTAAACTTTTTATGGCTAGGGTATTTTAGCTAAATTCTCAAATGTAGGGGTCTGGGTAATTGTTATTTGGTAGACATATGAGGGCAAATGTGTCAGAAATGATAAAAGATTGAGGGCAAAATAGGGTCAAAATTAAGATTACCGAGGTAATCTTATATTAACACCCTTTGGGAAGGTAATCTGACTACTCTCAATATTACCAATAGTAAATACTATTTGCAATAAAAGATTACGTGATATTTTATTACTTGACAACCAAACGAGGAAATCTTGAAAATTAAATAAAGATTACAGGATTAATCTTATATCACCCCGAACCAAACGCAACCTAATATCATTCTTATATTAATTCGTGTGAATCGATATCTAAATGTCAGTCTAAAAATATTTTACGGTGGTTTCAACAACTTTTTTTTTTTTTTAATTTTAATTAATTCATGTGGAAATTTTCAAGTGAATTTGACGAAACAAAGAAATATGAATGGATTTTATTATTTTGAAACAATGTAATATAAAAAAATATATATTATATTATTTTGAAATCCTATAATATATTAGTTAACAAAATGTAGAATTAATGAATTTCGAAAACAACAGTTTTCTGAATTTTTAGTTAACAATTCGAAAATATTGCGTATGATAGTTCATATTAATAAAATATAGTAAAAATCTAAGGCTTTGTTTGGCTTATTATTTGTTCCCATATTCTCAACCCGATTTTGTGAATACCGTTTGGCTTATTATTCAGACAATACAATCCTGACAGGTTTTTGACCGTTGAAGATTTGCAATCCTACTTTTATTTCTCTTTCTCAGTTTTATTTCACTTTCTCAGTTTTGTTCACTGCATCAGTGCTTCACCACCGTGACAAACCATCTTGCTACCCTTCCACCAAATTCTTCTCCACCACAATCTTCCACCTGCAAATACAAAACAAAGCACATTGGCCAAACGACCAGCCACCTGAATTAGAAAACCACCCCACAGCACCACCCAATCAATCTTCCACCATCATCACAACAGAACCGCACGACCATCACCCATCACCATCTTCCACCATCATCACATTACCACCCCACCGCAACCACGCATCACCATCTGCCGCCATCATCACAACACAAACGTGACCGAAATCAAACTATCATCCACTGCATCACCATAATAACAAAACAACACCACGAATCACAAACCATTCACGGTGACTTCCCGTTGTCGATCTGCCACAATCCGAAGTTGATCGTCACAAACCCACCACCGTGAACCCACATCCTCACAGATCTGTCCCATCGACGTCACCGATCGTCACAAACTGACCACCGTGAACCCACCGTAGTTGCAGATCTGTCCAACGTTAAGCCCCGACGTCACCGATCAAAACAAACCCACCATTATGAACCCACATCCTCACAGATCTGTCCCACGTGAACCACCGACATCATCGATCGTCATAAAC